TTATTATGAATATTTTAAAATCTTATACAAAAGTGGACACAATTTTATAATGAGCCCAACTCAGCCAGCATAGATGGTCACTATCCATATTGGCTGATCCAGTTCCATTTATTTATTTTTATTTAAAATTTCTTTTGGTTAATCCTCACCTGAGGATATTTTTCCTTTTATTTTGTTTGTTTGTTTGTTTTTACATAGAGTGGGAGGGAGGGGCAGGGGAGAGACATAGATATGAGAGAGACACATCAATTGGTCACACCCTGCACGACCCCAACCAGGGCTGTGGATCAAACCTGCAACCCAGATATGTGCCCTTGACCGAAATCGAACCTGCGACCCTCTGGTCTGATGGCTGATGCTCTAACCACTGAACAAACTGACCAGGGCTGATCCAGTTCCATTTAAACCCCACTCTGCTCCCCCACTGTAGAAGTAAATCCCTGATACATAATTTCTTTCGTATGTGTTTTAATACATATATCTGAAATATGTGTACTTTAAAAAATTAGCTTTTGATATGTTTAACTTGGTTTGTTGTGTGATTTGAGAGACTTAAACATAAAGAAGTACTAGCTACAACAGTGCAGTAACTGCAACGGTGAAAAGAGGACCCCGAAGGGTTCTCCGGGGCTGAGCAAGTCAAGGAGCACACTTGGACGGGGAGGGCCCTCCCCAAACTTCTGTTCAGGCCTCCTTGGAGAGGTATTGTTCAGCCCCCTGGTTAGTGCAGTTCACTTGGTCCCAGCCCCTGGCAGTGGTGAGCAGAAACCAGCAGAACGATCCGAAGTGCAGGAATCCGAAGCCCCTCACTTTTGCACGTCCCTCCTTGCCTCTGCTGGCAGTGGCGCATTGTGCTAACTTCCGAGAAGAAATGCTTGAGCTTGAGCGGTCCAGCCCGTCGGTGCAGAGCAGGCAAGGAGGTGGCCGTGGAGCCTGAGGCAATGCCTTCCGCCACTTCGTGAGCAGTGGGGGACCTCGCCCCGCACGCTCCCCCTCCCGACTTTGTGCTATCTTGCCTTACGCTTGACATCTACATACGTTGTAAACCCCACGATACATTGTTATCATTGTTTTTAAACAGTCGGTTATCTTTTAAAGATATGTAATAGCAAGAACAAATCCGTGCTTTGTGTTCCGTTTTGTGTTCCGTGTTAGCATCTGGTATCGGTTTCCTTTGGCCTGAAGACACCCTTTCACATTTCTTCTAGTGTGGGTCAGCTGGCAGAGAATTCTTTCAGCTTTTATATGTCTGAAAAAAGCCTTTATTTCACCTTCATTATGGAAAGGTATTTTCACAGGGGTGCAATTCCAGGTCTCAGTGGTCTTTCTCTCCCTGCTCTTCGGCGCCACCGTCTCTGCGCATGTCGCCGACAAGGCGCCTGCTGACATTCTCGCCTTTGCTTCTGCGCCCAGTGACTGCTTTTCTCGGCTGTTAAGATTATTCTACTTACTGCTGGTTATGAACATTTGATTATGATGTGCCTGGGTGTCATTTTATACATGTTTATTGTGCTTGGGGGTCATTGACCTTCTGGAATTTGTAGGTTTATAGTTTTCATTACATTTGGAACATTTTCTATTATTATTATTATTACTATTATTTTCCCCATCACCCTTGACCCTCCTATTCTTTAGGGCCCCAGTTACACCTCCTGAAATACCCAAGTATATCATTTTCATTTTGGTGCTATTGTAAATGGTACTGTTTTTTAAAAATCTGTATTCAGATTGTTTATTGCTAGTCTGTTGAAACACAGTGGACTTTCGTGTATTTTTCTTACCCTGTGACATTGCTGAACTCAAGTATTGGTTATAAGTGATGTGTCTTAGTAAAATTGTTGGAACGTGCAACCATGTGTCTGAAAACACAGAGCATGTTTCTTCCTTTCCTGATTTCATGACATTTCTCTTTGTCACTTCGTTGTCCTGATGGTGCACAAATGAGATGTTTGATGACAATGGGATGATGGGATGGAGGACGTCCTGGCCTCGCTCTGTGTCAGGGGAAGTACATAGTCGTTCACGATTGGGTGCGATGTTGGCTGCAGACTTTTTTGTAGAAGCCCTTTCTCAGGTTAATTAAGTTAATTACCTATTACTAGTTTGATGAGAATTATTCATTATTATGAATTATTTGAATTTTGTTAAGAGCTTTTTGCATATATTGAGATAATCATATGTATTTTCTCTTTATTTTTTAATGCATTGATGAATTTTTGGATGTTGAAACAGCTTTGAATTCCTTTGATAAACCTCACTTGTGATGTATTGTCCTCTTTATATATTGCTGGATTCCATTTGCTAATATCTAATCGAGGATTTGTGTGTCTATGTTCATGAGAGATATTGGTCTGTCATTTTCTCGGAATGTCTTTGCTTTTTGTATCAGGGAAATGCTGAACTTACAAATGAGTTGGCAATTTTTTATTTTCAACTTTCTGCCAGAGGTTGCAGAGAATTGATATTATTTATTACTTAAATTGGTAGAATTTATCAGTGAAACCGTTGTTGTTGTTGTTGGAATAGGTATAAGACTAAACAGGTTATCTATTTTCTTTTTTTTTTTTTTGAGTGAATTTTGGTAGTTTCTCTCTTTCAAGGAATTTGTCCATTTTATGTAAATTGTTGGATTTCTGGGGCTAGTATTTGTCTTAGTCAACTTGGGCTGCCATAACAAAAAACGGTAGCCGGGCAGCTTAAACAATGGACATTTATTTCTCACGTTTCTGGAAGCTGGGAGTCCAAGATCAGGGTGCCAGCTGAGTTGGTTTCCAGTGAGAGCCTCTTCTTGGCTTGCAGGGGGCCACCTTCGCGTGGTAAAGAGAGAGCTCTTTTTCTTCTTACCAGGGTAACATTTCTATTGGGCCAGAGCTCCACCTTTATGACCCCATTTAACTTTAATTACCTCCGGAAAGGCACTGTCTCCAATGCAGTCAAATGGAGGAATAGGGCTTCAACATATGGGTTTTGGGGGGATACAACTAAGTTCATAGAGTATTCTCTTATTTTCCTTCTAGTGTGTGTGGCGGGGTCTATAGTGATGTCCCTTTTTTCATTCCCATTATTGGTAATTTGTGTCTCTCTGTTTATTGATCAGTCTGGCTAGAGGTTTATCAATTTCATTGATCTTTTCAAAGAACCAACTTTTGGTTTGATTGATTTTTCTCTATTTTTCTGTTTCAATGTCATTTATTTTTTCCTTTTTATTATACACATCTGTTTGCTTGATTTGGATTTCTTTTCTTTTCTCTAGTTATTCAAAGTAGAAACATAGATCATTACTATTTCACACTTTTTTCCAATATAAATGTTTAATGCTATCAGTTTTCATCAAAGTACTGCTCAGAGGTATCCCACAAAGTGTGATACGTTGTATTTTAATTTTCACTCAGACCAAAAGGCTTTTACATTTCTCTGTGACTTTCTCTTTGACTCATGGTTATTTAGAAATAGGTTGCTTTCCAAATATTTGGGAATTTTGATATATCTTTCTAGTTTAATTCCCTAATTGTCAGTGCATATATTTTATATAATTTTATTCTTTTAAATTTGTTTTAATTCCCAAAATATAGTCCATCTTGGTGGATGTTCTGTGTATAAAGGATGCGTATTCTGCCGTCGTTGGGTGGAGTGGTCTTTAAGTTTCAACGTGTTCTTGTCTGTTGTTTGGATGCTCTATATCTTTTTGATCTTGTTTACCTGTTCTGTCGATTACTGAGAGAGCAATGTTGAAGTCTCTGATGAATTATCTTTTCAGTTTCATCAGCTTGGCTTCATGTATTTGGAAGCATACATGTTGTTGATGTGTACACATTTGGGATTGCTATGTTTTCTTGGAAATCTGAACTGTCTATCGGCATGCGATATCCCTCATTGTCCCTGGGAATATCCCTTTTTTGAAGTCTGCTTTGATACTCATACAGCTATTGCAGCCTCTTTTGATTAGTGCTTGCACGATGTGTCTTTCCCCCTCTGTTTACTTTACCTGCTTATGTGTGTTTCTTGTGTTTAAAGTGGGTCCATGACACATCTCCAGTATTCTCACGGCACTTTCTGCACAGGGTGAACCTCTGTGTTTGAGTCTGCCTCCTCTTCCAGGTTGCACACGCGTGAGGCCAGGTGAGGGCTCCTGACCTCTCCACATCTGTTGGCCCAGAACCTGGCCTTGAGTGGTCACTGCACACTCATCTGCAGGGTGTGTGAGGTCTCAGCGTCCTCACTGCCCAGAAACCTGAGGTGACGGGCGAGCTGGCGAGCCTCAGGGCACTGATAGCGTGGACGGCCCCAGGGCCCACGGCTCGGACTCAGGCACCTGTGTCCAGCAGTGCTGGTGGAGGGTTAGGGTTTGGTCAGCGGGGCTTGGTGCAGCTGTGAGTCAGTAGCCAAAATGGAAGCCGCACACTGTGGCCTCGAGTGAGAGATTTTACACAGAAAAGAGGAAGCCCATTGGCTCAGAAGTTCAGAGCCATAGAGGGGGATGGGAAGAGGAAGAAGAAGACCCACCACAAAGGCCACACAGAGAGATCACGCAGCCCCGGGCTTGCACAGAGCCCTGACGCTGTGCCTTGGCTGTGAGTCCTGCTCCCGGGCGCCTGGGGATCGGCTTCTGTGCTGTGACAGCAGGGCCAGTACACTTGTCCATGTAAGGCTTTCCCAGCCAGGCACAAGAGCACAGGGCCGCTCTCTGTAGGGGTGTGGTGACACGGGTCCTCGGGCCAGGCTGGGGGACCGTGATGCTGCCCATCTAGGCAAGGTGCCGGCCAGGGGCGCACTGAGTGAGAGCAGGCATGAGAAGTGCAGGCCGGTGCTGGAAGTGCTGGGGTCATCCTGCTTGGGTGGCGATGGAGGATGGGGACCCCAGTGGGGGTCAGGACACCTCAATCCCAGCACAGGGACCTTGGCTGACACTGCTGCCTAGGGTGGGTTGGGGAGTCAAGGGAGCAGTGGGACCCCTTCGCCATGACCAACTTGATGCTCCCTTCTCTTTCAGGGCCAAGACGATGATCCCGCCGGGGGAGTGCATGTACGCAGGGAGGAAAAGAAGGAAGCCCATCCAGAAGCAGTAAAGTATCACCTTCTTTTTCTGCTGATTGTTACTGACGAAGGACGAAGGTGTTTGTGTTTTCATTGGTGAAAGTGAATTTTAGGAACAGAGTGAGGGAGGGCCACACCTCCTTGAGGGATGGAAGGCCTTGCAGAAACCTGGCTGGGGGTGTTCACACCAGCTCCCCTGGCAGGAGGCTGCGCTGCTCCTCCAGGTGGTGACTGACGTAGAACCCGCTGCGGCTGCTCTTCTGACTTTGATGGAAGGTGGGGTGACACTTATTTGGCCACAGGCCCCACATTGAGGGCTGCGATGTCACTCCTATTTGTGGTGAGCACCCAACTCCCTCTCTGCCCTGGTGACACCCCATCCGCAGTGAGGATACACTCACTCATTGCTCACAGATTACAGGAGACCATGGGGGGTTCATCCTTCCAGCTTGAGGGCTTCCGGAACCCTCATCACTCCCAGGTGGCTCTAGGTTCCCCTGCCACCCCCAGAACTGATCACTACTGCTCATGGCCCCGCTACCTGCCAGTGGCTGGCCCAGAGGAGTCCTGGGCCCAGGGGTGTGAGGTCTGTGGTAGCTGTAGGAATAATGGGGCTTGAGGGGTGCCCTGCCGGGAGGTCAGCAGAGAGCATCCCAGAGGCCCGCAGGCTACCCCTGGCTCCTCCAGCAGGGGTTCTGCAGTTGGAGGGGTCAACAGTGTGGACGTTTGTGACATTGACAGGTTACCAAACTGCCCAGCATCTGAGATGTGCCTCTTCCCCAGCCTGGGTGCACGGTGTAGTTTGGACTTGGTCATTTGCATGCTTTTGTCACAAGTGACGTGTAAGAGCACTTGTATTGGCTTCTCTGTGAACTGTCTGTGTTGATAACTTTTGCTCATTTTTCTATTTTTTATCCACCGGCAGCTGGGGCTCTGTGTGTGTGTGATACAGCTGTGTGTGAGTGTGTCTAATACTGTTGTGTATGAGAGTGTGTGTAGTACAGCTGTGTGTTAATACAGCCGTGTATGTGTGTGTAATACAGCTCTGAGTGGCTGTGTGTGTGCATGGACTGTGTGTCTGGGTGCACACCTGCAGCACGGTCTGTGTCTAGGTCTGTTTCTGTAACCTGGGCTGCCCCCTGGCCTCTGGCAGCAAAGGCTTGTGAGGCTGGACTTTGGCCAGTGGATTTGTCACCTGAGTCTGTCATCTGGTTACTGTGGCCCCGGGGCACCACAGGCCTCAGGTGGGGCGGGTGCCAGGAGCACAGGCACAGCGTGGTCTGCAGAGGAAGGCGGCCACAGAATGGAGCCACGCGCACCTGGACGAGGGCATGGCAGAGGGGCACAGACTTGTGCCTCCTGCCAGCATCCCTGGACCAGTAGCAGGTTATTAGCTTGCAAGAAGGTAAATCAAGGCTCAGGCCCAACATGCACACACATGCCTAAAGTGGGGTTGCTCAGTCAACAGTGTGGACGTTTGTGACATTGACAGGTTACCAAACTGCCCAGCATCTGAGATGTGCCTTTTCCCCAGCCTGGGCGCACGGTGTAGTTTGGACTTGGTCATTTGCATGCTTTTGTCAGAAGTGACGTGTAAGAGCCCTTGTATTGCCTTCTCTGTGAACTGTGTTGATAACTTTTGCTCATTTTTCTATTAAGTTGTTAATGTTTTTGTGCTTCTTGATCCTTGGGAACTTGTATACTAGGGAGACTAATTCTTGAGTGTGTTTCAAATACTTTCCCCCAGTTTTAATTTCTTTATGGTGTTCTTTGCCATGCAGAAAAATTTAATTTTTATGAAGTTGAATGTATTAATATTTTCCTTTGTGGTTAATTTTACACCATGATCAGAAAGATCTCTGCTTTACATTTATAAGAGAATTTTGTAACTATTTCTTCTCAACTTTTATGGATTTTTTTTAAAAAATTTAAGACTTTTCAGCCCTTGGAATTTTTCCTGGTGCAAGGGGTGGGGTCTAAATCTGTCTCATTCTTTTCTCCTATGGACACCAATTATTCTTAACACTTTTATTGACTAATCATTCTCTTCCTCACTGATTCAAGTGGTATTGGGTATTTTAGGCTTGGGATTTGAGCAGCTTATGGGGGAGCAACTAGGTGTGCCTGCAGGCTGAGCATCTCCACAGGGACATGTTCCAGGATCCCGGGGGGCTAGACAACTTCAATATTTTATGTTTGAGTGCAGGGCACCCGAGGCCGCAGCCCCTCTTCAGGTGTGAGCTACATCCCTCCATTCCAGCTGTGGTCCCAGCCTCCTTACAACGCCAGAGGGCTGTGGGGCTTTGGTCTTGCCCTGCCCTCTGGAGTGGGTGGTGGGCGATGGGTGGTGGGTCTGTGCATGCCCATCTTTCTCCTAGAAGGTGTGAGTGATGGAAGTCATGGAGCACTGGATGAACAGAGGAGATAGAATTCAGCTGGACTCACGGGTGCCCAGCTTCTGGGCAGAACCCCCCCTGAGAGGCTTCCCTGGGGCTGGACGCAGAGAGTGGTCGCAGACAGAGCTCCCAGAATGGCACTTTGAGCTCATGGGGCTAAGTGAGTGGTGGGCTTTCCCTTCTGTTGCCTGCATTTTCCATAGTTATTGGGCTATAACTGAAGTACCCTGGACTTCACAGATTTGAAGTGCATAGTCCAATCGGTTTTGACCTATGTTAACACCTGTGAAAGCGTCGCTGAAACCAAGGTCACAGACATGCCTGTCACTCCCAGAGTCTCCGTCATTCCTTCCTGTACCTTGTCTTGGCAACGTCTGATGTGCTGTGTCCTGCAGACTGGTTTGCATTTCCTGGAAGTTTCTGTAGATGGAATCACACGCCATTGTGTTGGGCTCCCCTCACCGGGCAGAGCGACTTAGAGATTCCTGCATGGTTTGTGCCTCAGAGTCGAGCCCCAGAAGGGAAGCTGCACGTCCATTTATTCACATGCAGACGGACACTTGGGCTGGTCCCAATTTGGGGCCTTTGCGGCTGAGGCTCCTGTGAACATAGAACATGTGCGGGTCTTTGTGTGGATGTTTTCACTTCTCTTGAATGAATACCAAGGAGTGGAATTGCTGAGTCACGTAGTGGGTGTGTGTTTAACTTCTTAAGAAACCACAAACTGTTTCCGAAGCAGTTGCACTGTTTACATGTCGGTGGCAGTGCGTGAGCATCCTGGCTCCTGTGCACTCGCCCAGGACCCGAAACACAGGTCCCCTTAGCATCAGCCATTCTTCCGGTTCTGTGGTTCCCCACTGGCGTTTCCCTGGAGATTGCTGGTGCTGAGCTCCTTCCTGGTGCTTATCTGCCAACTACACATCTTCTCTGATGAAGTGTCTGCTTGAATAATTCGTCTATGTTATTGGGTAATTTGTCACTGAGTCGTAACACTTCTTTACATGTTCTGATTGCAAGTTCTTGTGAATATTGTTTTTCCTATCTATGGCTTCCCTTTTGATCTTTGTAAGGGTGACTTTCAAAAGACATTTAAAAATTTTTGATGAAGATCAGTTTATCAATTTTTTTCTTTTATGATTTTCTGGGCGTGTTCTAAGATTCTGGGACCACCCCAAGGTTACTAAGATTTTCTCACATATCTTCTTTTATCTTTATTTTAAAAATTAATTAGTTAGGAACACGAGTGGCTGCCTCCCGCACGACCCAACCAGGGCCAGGGACAAACTGCAACTGAGGCACGTGCCCCTAGCGGGAACCAAACCCAGGTCTTTCTGGACCGCAGGCCAATGCTCTAACCGCTGAGCCAAACCAGCCAGTACTACGCAGTGGTAAGAAAGAAAGATCTCTTATCCTTTGAGACTACATGGAGGGACCTGGAAAGTATCATCCTAAGTGAAACAAGCCAAACAGAGAAAGACAAATTTTATATGATCTCACTGATTTGTGGAATATAATGAACATAACAGTTTGAGGAATGGGGTAGTCCCAGAGACGCGGAAGCGGGGTACAGACTGACAGTCCCCTAAGGAGTGGGGAGGTGGGGGAGGGATGAACCACAGAACTTATACGCATGTATGCATGAACAGTGGACATGGACAACAATCTGGGGAAGGGGCAGGGAGGGAAGGGGGAGGGGGGAATCAGTGGGGGGAAAAAGGAGAATCATCTGTAACAAAAATTAATCAATAAAAAAAAATTAATTAGTTAGTTAATTTTTTTTTTTTTGGAGAGAGAAACACTGATGTGAAAGAGAAACATTGACCGGCTGCCTCTTGCACACTGGTGGAGCCAGATCTGGCCTGTGTGCTGTAGTCTGCTGAGCCCTGATCTGCACACTCAGCACAGTGAATCCAGCCCTGACCTATAGCGCCGGCTAATGTCTGTGGTGTAAACAGTCCACCGGCCGTCAGTGGGACAGCGCTGAGCAGGGAGCTGGGGAGCGGTGCACGTGGTCCCTCGCTTTCCTCCTCTGCAGACAGCCTCGGGGGCACAGATAGAGTGAGATAGAAAGTGATACATTTTGAGTACTTTTTACCTTTATTTTTTAAAATATATTTTTACTGACTTTATTTTTTAGGGAGAGAGGGAGGGAGAGAGAGATAGAAACATCGATGTGAGGGAGAAACATTGATTGGCTGCCCCCTGCATGCCCCCTACTAAGGATGGAGCCCGCAACCCGGGCATGAGCCCTGACCAGGGATCAAACCGGGACCTCTCAGTCCATGGGACGATGCTCAATCCACTGAGCCACACTGGCTGGGTTCACATATTTTCTTGTGAAGTTATACTGTAGGTTATAGATTCAGGTCTATGGTCCATTTTGAGTTAATTTTGAGGTGCAATGAGAGGTAAGCATTGATGTTCACTTGTTTCCATGGCTGTCCAGTTGATAAGCACCATTTATTGAAAAGACTTTCCTTTCCCTATTGAATTGCCTTAAACATAGATGTTGGTCTATTTCAAGACTATTTTGTTCCATTGATCTATATTTTTATCTTGTCTCTAATATCAAATCATCTTGAATATTGCAGCTTTAGAGAAGGCTTAAAATCAATAGTGTAAATCCTCCAACTTCATTCTTCTTTTTTAATGGGCTGTTCTAGATCCTTTGCATTTCCGTGCAAATTTAGAATCAGCTTGTCAACTTCTGTGGAAATGCCTGTTGGGATTTAATGGGATCACACTGCAGCCACAGCTCAGCTTATGGGAGCATCGCCACCGCAACAACATCGGGTCTTCCAATCCATGAACATGTCATTTCTTTTCAGTTATTTAGGTCTTCTAAATTTTTTTCTCAGCAATATTGTATGGTTTCAGTTTAAGTGTCTGGGATGTCTTTTGTTAGATTTATTCTAAGAAATTCATACATTTGGTGTCACAAGGCTTCCTTTGTAAGTGTCCTTCTATCTGAGCTGCTGTGGCTCCTCCTGTGCTGATGGTCCCTGGTCCCCATTGCCTGTTGCTGAGGCTCTGCCCTGGGGGATTGGAGCTTCCTCCATGTGTCCCGTACCCCATCCCCTCACCCACCTGAGTAAGGGTTGGGTGGTTGCTGCTCTGGCCCCTGCAGCTGGGAGTAGGGTGGAGGGCTGCGTCAGAGGGCAGCCAGGTGCTCTAAGAAAGTGTGAAGGGACAGAGTGATGAGTGTCAAGCTCTCCGGACTCCTGTTTCTTCAGCAGGTGAGTGCCTGTCTCCCAGGTGCCCCAAGGCGGGTCGCAGTGGGAGAAGAGTCAGGTTCAGCTCCTTCTCAGACACGTGCTGTCTGGGGAGGCAGGTGGGTGACTGTTGCCCCACGTCTACACAGAGGTGACATTCGAGCCAGGGCTTTCTCCCCATTTCCTGGCATCTCTCCTCTTCTCTGACCACACACCTGCCCTTGGTGCTGACTTGTTTCTGGGGTCACTGGGGCGGGAGGGTGTCTTTCACTGACAGGGTGGGCCTCCTCTCTGGCCGTCAAGTGCCAGTCCACACTGGAGTCTGCTCAGCTTATTCTCAAGTCTCTTGCCTACTTATGTGTTGGCTAGTGGTGTGAGTAAATTTGGGGTGGGGGCCTCGTTAAAACAAACAAACAGACAGACAGACAAACAAAAAAGCAGAAAATAAAAAGATAATTGAAGATATGGGAGAAAATATGTGAAAATTATGTATCTGCTAAGGGGCTTGTATCTAGAATATATAAAGAGCTCCTGAAACTCAGCAATAAAATGACAACTCAATTAAAAGCGAGCAAAGGAATTGAATAGCCATTTCTCCAAAGAAGATACACAAGTGACCCACAAACACAAATCAAAGCACATTGAGATACCACTTCGCACCAGCGGGAATGTCTATTAGAACAATAAGGAAAATCACAAGTGTGGACAGGATGCGGAGCGACCGAGAACCTCCTGCTGGGAATATGAAATGGTGTGGCCTTCATGGGAACAGTTGGGCAGTTTTTCAAAAGCTAAACACAGAACTACATATCAGCCCAGCTACTCCACTGCAAGGCTCATGTCCCGTGGAACTGAGCGCATGTGCTCCGGTGAACACTGGGACAAGGCTGTCTGGGCAGTGTGTGCACACGGCCCACCAGATGGAAGCCACTCAAGTATGCGTGGGCCGGCGAGGGGATAAACTAAACATGGTTAATCCATGCAGAGGAACAGTATTCGGCCTTAAAGAGAATGAAGTTCTGATAAATGCTACACCGTGGATGACCCTTAAAAACATGATGTTTGTCCTGGCTGGTTTGGCTCAGAGTGTCGTCCTGCGGTCCAGAGAGACCCAGGTTCGGTTCCTGCTAAGGGCACGTACCTCAGTTGTATTTTGTCCCCAGCCCTGGTTGGGTTGTGTGGGAGGCAGCCACTCGATGTGTCCCTTTCATGTCGATGTCTCTCTCTCTCTCTCCCTCCCACTCTATCTGAACAAAAAATGGAAAAATGTCCTCAGGTGAGGATAAAAAACAAAAACAAAAAACAAACAAACAAAAAGTGATGTTCAGTGAAGGAAGCCAGACACGAAAGTCTCGAATGGTATGGTTCCATTTGTGTGAAATGTCCCAAACAGGCAGATCCACAGAGACGGGGAGCAGCTGGGTTTCTGGGCTGCGAGGAGGGAAATGGAGAGAAACTGGGTGTGGGTGGGTATGGGTTTTATTTGGGGGTGATGAAAATGGCTTGGACCCTGATAGAGGTGGTAGTTACCCAACACTGTGAATGTACAAGATGCCACCAAACTGTACACTTTACATCGGTCAGTTTAATGTTATGTGAATTATATCTCAACCAAAAAGGGAGTGACCCTGGGGTTGGGCCACAGGTTCCGCTGTGGTCCTTGTGGCTGAGGCCCTCGGCACAGAGGACAGTTTTGTAGACAAAACAGAGAGGACGGGCTATCTAAGGCTTGCTCTCCTCGTACTTAGAAGTGAACATACAGTAGAAGAACAGGAACTTCTGGACAAGAGACCCAAGCCCCTCAAGGCAGCGGGGCCCAGGGGGTCGGCGCTGAGGCCAGCGCCTCGCTCCAGCAGCTCCAGTGCTCTGGCTGCCGTTTAGGGCCAGGCTTCCTGTGATGAGATCTAGGAAGGACACGAGGAGGGAGCTGTTCTGTGAGGTGGGAAATAGGGTCAGATAAAGGGAAATGTCATCCTGGATGCAAGAGGGGCAGATGAGGGTGGTCATTGCGAGGCAGGTGGAGGTCTGGGGTCAGGGAGGGTGGACAGAGCAGGTCTGTTGTGGGGCAAAGGGAGAAAGCAGCCAGGGCCCTGCCCACCTACACAGCAGCACAGCCCTTGACTTCCGGCTTGGGAGGGGCAGTCGGAACAGCGCCCATGATGCCCAGGATCCTCAGTTACCCTTGCTTCACTCCATTTCAGCCCTGCTGTGTAGAGGACAAACTGAGGCCCAGAGAGGCCACTTGCTCCTGGACTGCACAGTTAGGAGTCCGGGTCCTAAGGAGGCCATGTGTTTGGACACCGAAGCATGACTGAGAGAGGTGAGCAGGTGCAGCCGAAGGCCAGCTGTCCTCCCACTTCTGGGAAAGTTAGCACAGAGAGGTCAAGAGCCATGCCGGAGTCACACAGCTTGCGCTGAGCCACGTTCTCAGGCCACCTGTTCCTCCTCTCTCTGTTCATCCCTTTGCAGTAATGACATGTAGTCACTGAGGTGCGGTTGCAGATCCTCAGCGTGCACCTTTTCAGGAATGGGTGAGTTTAGTTCATTTCAGCACTTTCTTCCTGGCGGCAGCTCCAGTTTGAAGCAGGGACAGATTTCCACCTGCGTGGCTGATGGCCTCTGGTGGGGTCACCTGAGTCTGACTGTGGTCGTGTCTGCACAGGAAGCCCACCGTGGGGGCCGAGAAGTCGAACCCTTCCAAGCGGCACCGAGACCGTCTGAACGCCGAGCTGGACCACCTGGCCAGCCTGCTGCCATTCCCGCCAGACGTCGTGTCCAAGCTGGACAAGCTCTCGGTCCTGCGTCTCAGCGTCAGTTACCTCAGGGTGAAGAGCTTCTTCCAAGGTAGGACTCTCACCTGGGTTCCACCCTCTTTGCTGGGATGGGCTGCTTGTGCCTCCTGTCCTGTGTAACCATTTAGAGGAGGAGTCACTGAATGCCGATGCATCAGAGCAGCTCTGGGGGAAGGGGCACAGTCGCTTCACCCTCTCTTGCCTCACTCACTGCAGGGCCCTGGGGCTTCCTCACGACCCCAGGGCTCCAGGGGACCGGGAGGAGCTGCAGTTGACTGGTGTGAGGCTGGGTGGCCGGCCTTGTGTGGTGGCTTTGCCTGTCTGGGAGCTCTCCCTCACCTGTGCTCCAGGTCATGCTTGTTCTTCATGTGGCCTGGCTGCGGTCCAGAGAAAGAAATGTGGTTGTCACCTCGTTAAAACCTGTGACTTCCACTATCAGTGAATTACGTGTGAACTTCTTACAAAATTATGAACTTCTGATATGTCTTAGGGAGCAGGGAAGGTACATGTCGCAAGTGGGCACGCGCGGACAGCAGGGCGGGGCGGGGACTGCGGCAGCGGCAGAGTTCCTGCTGTGCTCCGGTCAGCGCTTGTACCCCCCCCTGCTGCCGAGCGCAGCGCCTTGGGCTGCCGTGAGGACGGACGCAGGTGAGGCTGAGGCGTGGGACGATGTGACCAGGTCAGTGTGCTTCCCACACCAGCGGGAGCAGTTTGCCCTGAGACATGTCTGGGGTGAGACTCGGCCTCTGCCCGCTGCTAGCTTTCTCTGTCCCTCCGGGAGAGGGAGGGCAGCTTTCCTGAGGATCCGCTCTGCCTGCCATGTTCTCCAGCTGGACGCCACACCCAGCCCTCCTCCACAGGACCCCCTGGGCCTTCATCTTCTCTCATGGAGCAGGAGCCCCAAGTCCTCTGGCCACTGCTGGCCTCTGAGAAGCCCTGTTCTGTGTATCAGATCTCTGTACGGGGGGTCTTGGCTCCCTCCCAGCCTCTGTATGAAGCCCTTTGTTCCCATTCTGCTCTGGGACGTGGACCCCTTGTTGGGAGTGTGGGACTGGTCCTGAGCCACACTGAAATGTCCCATCGTGGAAAGGCCATCTGTCCCCAGAGAAGGCCGAGCACACAAGGCTGTGTGGCCATGGGGTGTGCTGAGCTGGGCTTGGTCCTGTGTGCTGGTGGCTGAGATGCCGGCCATGCCTGGGGTTCCCTGTGTCTCCTAAGGCCACCTGCCCATGTCCACCCCACACTCGTGCCTGTGGGCACTTCAGGCAGGATGGTGGGCCGAGATATTGCAGCCTGGGCCTGAACCTCACCCACCACCCAGCCCAGGTCAGTTTTCCTTAGAAAACCATATTCTTTTCCTTTGGGTTAAAAGGCTACTGTACAGGTGCCCATCACCCAGCTAGAGGTGCAAGCTCACAAAACACTTCCTGAAAAGTAGGTTTAGAAAATGGCAGAGAACAATGGGTGCCATGGGGTAGGGGTGGGGGTTCAGTGGGGGTCACCAGGAGGGTCCTGTGGTCTGGAGGGCTCCCTGGAGGAGGTGAGGAGGCAGGTGTCCTCTGCAGGCTGCGCTGAGGTGTTCCTGCATCTCGGTGGGCCCTCCTCGGTGCTCCCGCCCTGCCCGCTGTAGTCTGGGCCCCTTCTGGTCCTTCTCCAGCTGCACTGGAGTTTCACAAGGCCCTAGGGCAACGGGCTTGCTGCCACCCCCTCCCCTGGCCTGTACGAGAACTCTCGCCAAGCCCCCTTTTCTGTGAGCACCCCGAGGTCCATGGAGAAGCAGCTGCAATGGGTGCAGGCCCCTGTCTTGAACCTTTATAACTGTCAGGGTTCTGGGTTCTCTCACTGATTCGAAGCCCACGTTCAGAAGTTTGCCTGAGCCGTGGCTGAATTCTCCTCCCCAGTGTCCACAGTATCGGGTTTGTGTCCTGACTGTCCCTGGGGCACCTTCATTTCCTTAGATTTCAGGTTATTGGTTGCCCTGGGACCGCAGGTCTCTGATGAGCCCACCAAACTTGCAGACTTGCAAACTGCTCCGTGCTTCGTTGTGAGGTACGGTGAGGGGCTTCAGAGTTCTGTGTGTAAAGCTGAAAGGGAATCCCCTCCAGAGGGTTTGAATCGCACTCCTTTCAAAATGAAAAATCGTCACCCGACCAGGGGAGCCTCCAAGGAGAGTTGAGGGAGTGTTGTTCTCGGTCCTCTGTGGGCTCAGCATTTGCCACCAGGTCCTGGGGCGGGTAGGGTGGGGGGGCTTCCAGGAGACCAGGGGTGGCCAGCTTTCTGACTTGGAGTGGGGATCTGCACAGGCCTCTCACGGGCCCTCCTTTGTCCCTTCAGGGAAGAGGGTCTGTTCGGGGCATGCGTGACAGCTCCCCACAGGGGTCCTGCTGGTCTCCCGCACCTCAGATGCCCCTTGTGAAGGGTGTTGGCTGTGGGGACGCTGGAGAGCACCTGAATGGCATTAATACTCAGCATCATTCTGTGACCCTGCAGTGGGGCCCCGCTGGCCCTCCCCAGGTCCTGGCCAGCCCCAGAGCCCCCGGAATTGAACACATAAATGTGTTAGCGGCAGGTATCTCGAGTGGAGACGTTCCAGGGGTCTTGTTTTACTTTACAGGGATTTCAATTTCATACTGATATATATTAATTTCGCAAATTGGAAAAACTCAGTTGTGTGAAACAGCCAGGGAAGTCTTAGCGCACTGCCGTCAGCTCCAGGCCCCTTGCCCCGGGGACCCGGCTGTGCTGGGGCTGCTGGGCAGATAGCTCCAGTCAGTCAAATAACTGTTGAGTCATCACTTAGTTCCTCGTGTATAAAAGCTATAACCGCACGTAACTCAGTAATTCACACAGGTGAGGATGAGCAGGCGTCGCCCCAGCACTTGGACGAAGGGCAGCCGTGTAGGGTGGGCATCCCCCGGCGGAGAAGGAAGCCGGCTGTGGAAATGCTGATGGAGCAGAAAGGATTCTCTGTCATCAGGAAAGAGAATGACTCTGAGACCGAGAAAGTAGAAGCGACTGTGCAGGGTGTTGCTGGGCCAGGAGGGCTGTGTCGTGAAGCTGAGAGAGTTCCCGGAGGGATGACCAAGGAAGCCCGTGAGACTCAGGGCGTGTGCTGTGGGCACCCAGTCGTCCCTCAGAGCCCTCTGCCAGGCCTGCGGCAGTGGGGGCCACATACCCAGGTCCCGGCGCTGGGTCCCCCTCACTGGGGCTCCGTCCCCAGCCTGGAGTTGAAGTCAGTTTACTGCGGTGACCTGAGCATTATGATGTTGTGCGGGATGACTGTGGTCTTCCAGGGGGGCTGCTATGGGATGAAGTTGAGAAGGTCACAAAATGACAGAGCACCGTTGCGTGGGGCCAGACTTGCCTCTGGAAAGCACCTGTTCTATGGCTGGAGCTACTGGGCTGTTCCGACAGCTCAGGCCAGGTTTGGGGCTGCCCGAAGGGGCCTGTTGGTTCACCCTCCTCCACTGACACAGCCACGAAGACCAGACTTCCTGGCCGGGAGATTGGGAGGGGACCAGTCACTTCCACTCTGGACCGGTCCAGCTGTGCCCAGCCGGGCCAGGGTTGATAGTCTGGGAAAGACTGCTGCTCCCAGGAGTTCAGATAACTGTCCAGGTGCCCACCTGACTGCCTAGTTTTTACCCAGAAGCAGAGTGACAGTGCCACCTCACTGCTGACCCCACGGCCCCCACTGGTGCGGGACCCCATGGCCTGAGCCTGTGAGGCTGACTCCATGCTCTGCTGCAGGCCGGCCAGGCCACAAAGCCCAGAGACGCCATGTGAGCGTCGAGACTGTCCCCATTGAGTGAAATGACAAACCCGACCTCTCCATCACGCCTTTTCTATCAAGGGTTCCGAAGTTGTACATTTTAGGGAAAATTCTGAACACTTTCCTGAATTCATTTCCACTGTGTAATTAGAAAAAAGTCAAGCTATAAAAATTGGATCTTAATCTGTGCTCCCTGACTCAGAAATGGATGTATTAATCTCATTACAGCTTCTATAAAAAGTCATCTTTGGGAAGGACATGAACTGGAAAGTTTCATCCTCAAAGGGTAACAATGACCTGAAAATTTCCAGTAATGTTTACTTTAGTGTTGACTTTCAGGGATTTGTAAAAGGGAGTGGGATTGTTTTATTTTATTTATTAGGTTTTTGCATAGAGCAAAGGGCTGGTGCTTCTAAGTTATAAACCTCTGCTTGTACCCAAGAGCAGAGTTTTCCACTCGTAAATCTCAGCATTCACAAGAGGGGTGTTGTGGGGGAAGGTGGGCAGAGGAGAAGCATGAAGGACCCTGTAGGTGGGGCTGGAGCAGAGCTGGTTCCTTCCAGAATGTGTGGCCTTTACATGTGGGGTCCAAGAAACCCCTCAGCCCCTCACTTAGGCCGAGCGGTCAATTAGGTCACCCTCTCCGAGCGCCCACTCATTCAGGAGACTCATTGGGTCCAAGGACAAGTGCCCAGGGAGGAGAAGCCGAACACACAGGCGACAGGGCCCGATGTCCCTGCAGACCTGGCGCACGGACAGCATCCCAGCGAGTCACACCAATGGAAGTGTGGTGTGGGTAACAGATGTGCGCTCCTGATGCCCTGGAGAGACGTGCCAGGGAGAGGAGAGCACCTCAGCAAACACAACCGCGAGAGCAAAGATCACAAAACCTGGACATTCTTCACGCACCCTGTGGTTGAAACTGGCTTCCTGTCCTTTTGATTCTTTGTGCTCAGCCTGGTACCCCATTCCACAAATGCTTATCCCGGAGCCCTGCCCGCTGGCCCTGGTCCCCTAGGCACCTGGGCTGGACGGGCCTGCTTCACTGCCCCTCTGGGCGAGCAGGTCCAGAACCCCCGAACCACGAGCATGTGCCCTGGGGCTTCTAGGTGCCATGTTCATTAGGTGTCAGAAGTGAAGTGCTCCTTGAGACCATTGATGATCTTATAACCTGGGTGAAGAATATACGATTATTAAGCTAAATTGTACCAGTTTGCAGCCTTCACTAAAGACTCATCTTCCAAAACAATGGTGAGGTATCACCTCACACCTGTCAGAAT